TCCCTCTGCACCCAGGGGCTGCTGACTATTTCAGATGAATATTGATAAAGCAAGAATTACAGGTCTAAGGATTATTTAAAAAGCATGCAAAACTTTTTAGCTAGTAATAAGCACACCCACCATTAGTAGTAAAAATTTTAAGCATGCCAAGCATGACCAGAAATCTTTAGAGTGTTTTAGGGTGTTTTCCTCCTATTCAAGACAATGTGAATGAGGAAGTTCATTTTAGCTTTCTAACTCCCCATTCTGCAAAAATCTATTTATTTTTGGATTAGTCCAGTGGCTAGTATAGACACTTACATTGGCAGAACGGTATTAAATATCTGTTAAATTGAATTAAGTCCTACCACAATACTCCTAATCTCTGTGGTTTTTAATTCTTTCCTTCTAGTCCGCAACATCTAGTCAGTTTCCATATTATAACTGTTTTATTTTTGCAAGGTCTCTACCATCAGTCTTCTCCTTTCTACCCCTTCTGCCCTAGTTCAGAAATCTCACTACTACTTCCACTGACTAATACAATAGCCTCCTAGCTGGTATTCCCCACCTTCAGCCTTTCCCCAACTCCAACCCATCCTACACACTAACTGGTTGTTCTTCAAAGCGTAGATCTGGTCATGCCACTCATGTCTTCAAAGGAGTTCAGTAACTCCAATTTACAGAATAATACTGAAGCCTTAAAGTGTCTTTAAAAGCCCATACAATAAGGGCTTAGCCTACTGCTTTCAATACATTCCCACGGTCACATCACAGCCTTACATCCTAGCAATATCGGATCCTCCCTTCCTCCAAAAGTACTTCCATGACTTTGCTTATATTTTCCCTACCCACCATAAATAAGGTCCTTTCATCTCTGTGAAAATATTATAGACTCCCTAAGGCCCTGATCAAATTCCACCTCTTTCACAGGGCCTTACCAGATCCATCCCGAAACCACAACCATAACTACCTCATTGTCGCTCATCTTATGACTTGTATAATAACAATTTGTGCATGTGTCTATCTTGCTTATCTGAATGTAAACCCATGGGGGTGGGGTAGACTACCTGCCTTGTACCCAATAAACACTGGATGAACTAAACCAATTCCTACTATGACAAAATTTCACACTAGGGGGAAAAAAACTAAAAATTAAATGTGAAAGACTTCATTATACAGTAATAAGAAATGAAATTGTCTCTGCTTATCCCCCAAAGTATTCCTAACTATAATCTCACATGTAGCCCCGAATCACCCTATCTGTGATTATAAATATGATTACCATGCTCAGATGAAATGATCAGATCTAGGAAAAAGATCTTAAAAACTGCTCATAATTGGGAAAGCTAATTTGTTCTCTCTTTTAGCTGTGGCAGTGGCTATCTAAACCGTAAGGTTTTAATACAGGTGACAGCAATCCAGAGTTTAGGGGCACAGAAAGGGACATGATGATGACTGTAGGAAAAGAGAAGCAGCTACCGTGTACTAGAGAGCGACTATGTGCAAAGTACGAAGTGTATTAAAGCCAGTACAGCATTTTTAAAACTATAATGAATCTTTTAAGATGTTTTTTCTCCCATTTACAAAAGAAGAAACTGAGGCTCAGGGAGATCAGGTAACTTGCAGTGGGTCACATGGCCAGTATGAATGCAACTGAGATTGGAACCCAGATTAACCACTCCAAAGCCTGTGTCATTTTCTCTATTAATACAGGGTGTCATGAAATTAATGAAAACTAGCAGTTTTTTTCTAATTTGCCATATATTTGTAATCCTGGTTAAATTTTTAACGTATGTAGCCTTAATACCATGCTGGGTTTTTTTTTTTTTCAGTGAACTATATTACACTCAAAACTAACTTACTAAGACAGGAGTAGTATTGATAAATATCAAAGTACCAATTATAATTTAATACACAATATAATATAATGATATATTCAATTTTAAAACTCTACTGTTAAGTCGTCCATCAAGAAACAAACACTCTCACCAAAAAAACACACAGCTGACTGCACAAGCTGTAATGAATGGGGCACTGACTCATGAAAAGTTCATTTTACTAAAACATGTTGTTCTTTTATGACCCTTGACCAGAGAGCCAATACCCATCATACCTCAAGTAACACCTCTTCCATGATCCTGACAATCAGGCAAGAGCTAAAACTGTGGGTGCCTGAGAGGTGATGCCCTTTGAAGTCCCAATTCCCAGTAGACCTACCCGAGACAGTCCCTGGAAGACCGACCTCTCACAATCAAATCTTCTTGCTTATGCTATTTCCTTTCTCCCTAAAACCCTTTCCCCAGTAGCCAACGGAGCCCGTATTTCCCTTTTTCAGGTCCATTCTCCACCTCTCACTACAACCAAGCTAGTTCTTGTTTGAAACCTCCAACACACTTTCCCATAGGCCACTTCTATAGTGTTTAGGCTCTTCATCGTTATGCATTGTTATTGTGTACTGGTCTGAAAATGTAACTATCTTTAATAACTCTTCCTATGGGAAAATGTGTTAAGAGTCTTAAACAACCAATTTTCACACTTCTGAATGATGATTCAAAAGGTAACAATGACCCACAAAATGAGACAGGTGAAAGACGCTGAAAAACACTCCACAACATGATAGTGTATCTAATCTTTAATTTTATCATAATTCAACACACCAGAAATCGACAGAAATTATCTCATTTGCCATCAAATTTAAGAGATTCTTAATTACATTTTCTTTAAGGATTCTAACATAATTTCAAAATACAAGGGCTAGCATAAATAACACCCATTTTATTACAAAATCTTTTATTGCAAAATCATAAGCATGTAATTCTGTAACATAACAACATCACACTCAAGCACACCATCTGACATTTTAGGTGAAATGTTCAAGCTAAACCTATAAATTATTACATCCATATTATTACTCTACCAATCGCACTCAAGCAGGCCTTACTTCTGCTGGACCCTGTATATGTTCTACAATGAAAGCACCCACAGTCCCCAAAACTATCACAGTTGAGGGCTGCAAAGCTTATGCTCAAAGGTTAATATTTCTAAAGCCAACATCAACAAACATGTAATTAAATATAAACTCTGGGAAGTAAAATTGTTTCCTTTTTATCAAAAGAACACAATTATAAACCAAAAAACTCTTGTTAAGTACTAAGCAGGTCTGGTGATATGTAGCATTTAGTTTTCACCTAGAATATTTTAATTAAGTTACTTTTGGGGTTAAATATAACCAGACATGAACTATTTTAGACAAAGAAGGCGGAAATACTATCTTCACATCACGTTTACCTTTCGTTTTACTTCACAGGGATTAACAATTTCCACTCGAGTATTTTTCCAAATTGCTGAGGTAGAAAGACCCATTGTTTAAATCTCTATAACACCTAAAACATACTGCAAACAATAAAAAACCATATGTGGTAATTACAATACAAAACATTTCTACATTGAAAGTTCACAAAACTAATGAATAGGCATGCGAAAGGCTCCGCACCTCCCATCCCATCCTTATATCCATGCATTCAACTGTTTTTATAAATGAGGTGCCTGGGTCTATGTCAATAGATTACACACATGAATAAAACAAAATTCCTCTCTTCTTGAAGAGTCTTGCTAGAAAATTCTTGCAAGCATAAAACTTTCCCATAATCCAAGAAGAAATGAACTCTTCTTCATCTGCCCTGTTCTGAAGAGATTTAGAATATTAAAGAGTACTTTGGAATAGCTTAATTTTGTATTCAAATATGTCTTATAAGTACAGAAGGCTCAACTTTTGACTCCTGAATGTGTTTCCACTGCCTTTGTTGTTAAATGTTATCCTAGCAGGCACTTTTAACCCCAGTTCGGCTGAAAAATTAAAAGGAAAAAAGAACGAGTTAAACAAGTAAGAGTCCAAAGTGTGTTGTTAAGGATCCAGAAACACTTAAAGACAAGTTTGCACCTTGAGACGTTGAGGATTTTGAGTGTTACCTCAAAAGATCCTACTGGGATTCAGTTTGGCATTCAAGTATTTTTCGGAGGTCTATGGTGGCCTCTACAGGAGTACTCAGCTGTCAATTGATTAAGTTGTCAGGAAAGGACCAGACTTTCTGTCCCAAAAGTCTCGCTATTGTGTTGAAATGCTGCCCGCTTTTAATAGTAACAACAAACAACGATAAAGCAAAGTACCTGCGCACATCTAAGTTCTTACTTGCACAGCTGATCAGAGTTGAGCCAGAACAGTTTTAGAAGAAGAGCGGGAAGAGAGGAGAACCAAACTATCATGGTTAAACTTCGCTGCCTTAGCAAAGACACGTCTCGTAAGGGCTGGGGTTTAGTTTGCGTCTTTTCTGGACCAACGGGGGCGGGGACAATAGTTGTGAAAGGCAGAAAGAAGAGGCGGAGGGACGAGGGCGGCAGAATGAGGGGACCACAGAAGAGGCAAGACAACATCACCTGAATGTAGATTAAGAAATCTGGCGTGCAGTTCATGTGCATGTGGGTTGCTACAAAGAACTGCAAGAAGCCGCACAAAAAGGAGAAAGCTAACTAACTGAGGAGCACGCATCCCGGGGTGCAAAAGTCCCCCGAGTTCCTTTAGTCACCTGGGTGTGTTTCTCTTGCGCCGGGTCCCTAAAGCACCCAGGAGTCAATACCGAGCCGGAGTTAGCAGCTGTCCCCTGAAGTGCTGCCAGCGAGAGCGCGAGCAGCGGAGAGAGAGGGACGTGCGGCCCCCGGCGCGACACCTGACGCTGCCCCAAGTCCCACTCCAGGCTGCAAAGTGCAGAAACTTAGTCCCAACTCCGCTGGAGCCCGCGAGGCAGGCACTCTCTCCCCACGCCCGAGCAGCTCCGTAGTGGCTGCCTGCTCCGAGAGAAAGCACGCTCGGGCCAGCGCTGGTTGCAGCGCCCTGCAGCCTCCAGGGGGCTTGCCTGGGCGCCCCGCTCCGCAGGGTGGGCCCACGCCCCTTCTTTCTGCAGCCCGGGCCAGGGGCTGGAGGGAACCGGGGGGTGGCTGCAGCCCCCGCCGGCCGCCACACTAACCTCGCCGCCGGTCGCGCTGCCACCGAACACCTCCATGTCTTCGTCCCAGGGCTCCTCCAGAGGAGCGAACGGCAGCATCGCCCCTTCAGGAGCGCTCGGACGGGAGCTGCCAACCTCCAGCACCGCCGCGCATCCTGTCTTTGGAGGTTGCCCGCCGCCGCCGCCGCCGCCGCCGCCGCCGCCGCGACTCCCAGCCCCGCCCTCGGCGACCGCTGCCCTCGCCACAGTGTCCCCCACAGGCTGGGAGCAGGAGGTCACCCCCGCCGCAGGCTGCTGCTCCCCATAGAGGAGACAACTCCGCGCTGTCTCTCCGGTAGCTGCCGCTGGGCTCCGCTCGGCACCGCCGCCGCCGCCGCCGCCGCCGCCGCCGCCGCCGCCGCGACTGTCGCCAGGCTCTGACTACCCCCGCCCCCACCCAGCTTCTCGGGGGGCCCCCTCCCCGCTCCCGGCTCTGTCAATATGGCGGCAGCGGCGGCGTTACCTGTGCGGCGCCTGGAACCCCCCGCAGCGGCGGCACAGCAGCGTCACCCGGACGTCAATGGAGATTCCCCAGCCCGCGGTGGTGGGGGGTGTGGGAGAGAAGGGAGGGGGCGGCGGCGGAGGGCCTCGTGGCGGGGGGTGGGAAGGAGGGGAGGGGGGCGCGCTGGGCGGGGGAGGCGGGAGGGGAGTAGTAAAAGCCAGCGCTGGCGCCCGGGTAAACCTGCCCACGCCACGGAGCATGCGCGGCGCTGCTCACACATGCTCAGCAGGCCCTCTCCAGTCTGCGAGGCAGCCTTGCCGGCGGGAGGATTCCCAAAAAAAGATGCGGCAACTTGGGGACCCTTCTAAACGCCGGAGGAGTCGGTGTCGGGGGAGGACGCCGTGGAGAGCTGCTGGCAAGGCTCACAAAAGCAGGTGTCCTATGCGCCGAACCACGCCCATTGTAATACTTAGTCACAAATACTAGGGTGAGGGTTTTAGTCCATTAGACATTAGCCTCCAAGAAGCGGGAGACAGGAAGAAAATGCATTTAAAACAAGTTAGTGTATCTGTCGTCCCTAACTCTCCTGACCTCCGACTTGACCCTCTCAGGCTGTTTCAGCTGTTTGCCTTTGTACTGTGTGAACACTAGAAACATTATGTTGTTTCTAGTGTTCACACACACACACACACACACACACACGAACACACATACGTCACTTACTAGACCCACAGCAATAAAGGTAAAATATGCATGGGTGGGCAAAAGTTGGTTTACGATTGCCAGAAAGTAAAAACACTTAGTTTATTTTTGCATTATTGTTTATTAATTATTATATTATATTTCATTCAAACACCTGTAAACCTACTTTTGCCAACCCCGTAAAAGATAACCTCATCCCCACCCCGCTTTACTGCTTTGCTACTCAAAGTCACACTGTACTAGGCGCTAGTGATATAACTGGGATAAAGTACATTCTCATACACGGGACATGATGAAGATCCTTCTCATCGAAACACTTTAGAACCCAAGGTAAAGTTATACCTTCGACACTTCATACACACTTAAAAGAAAATGGTAACAGCGGCTAAGGCGGCTCAGTACCTTGGACAGTTTTCTAATTGTGGAGGTACAACACAGCACTCCCTACCTAAAGCTGTTGTGTGGTGCTCGCAGAAAACAATGAAGTATGCCTTCCATTTATTTCGCCATCTGGCTCCAGCGCACTACAGAGGTTGGCGCCATGAATTGCGAACAAGGATCATTAATAGTGCCCTCCCAATTACTCTGTGTAAAATCCCAGGGAGAAAGCTTTATGAATATGATACTGTGAAACTGAAAGATAGGAGAATAGTGGGTGAATGGGGCTATAAATAGTGAAAATATACGAGTGTGCACGCACACGTGCATGAAGTTATATTTGGCCAAAATGACTGTTCTTAACTAAGGCCAACTTTTTGAGCACTGGATTGCATCCCTTCTTGCCCATTCAAAGGCTTTGTCCTGCAATCCCACCCTCTTCTGTTTCACAGCAACTATTTTCATCCCTCTACTGCACTTCTCCATCAGCAAAAAGCATGATGCTACTGATTTCAAGTTACTGGTGCAGTTCATGACTCTGTCTTGTTCATTTTCCTCCTACATCGTTGGCCATTTCTTCTCTGTGTTCTTTGCTGGATCATCCTTCATCTTCCCAATCCCTAAAAGTTATTGACTTCAAGGCCCAGTCCTCCACCTCTATTTCCTGCAACGTCCTATATGGAATATCCCCATACCCCACCCAGTCCCACTGCTTTAAATCCCACGTGCATGTTCAAGACTCTTACATTTTATCTTCAACTACAAACACTTAAAACCAATACTTGTATATGCAACTTACTTATTCTACTTGGAGATTAACAGTTATGTGAAACTTAACCTATTCCAAACCAGATTACTTATTCAACCCCAACCAACCTGACCTTGACACTTCTCCAGGGAAATTAATGACCTCCACCCTCCACCTAGTTTACTGTTCAAATGTCACTTCTAAATCCTTCTATGACCACACTTTCTAAAACACCATCTTCATGCTCTCTAGCCTCACCCTGCTTTTTCTTCATAACACCAATCAACATGTGGTTATGATGCAGTTTTAATTTATTCCCCACAGCACCTAGCATAATGCCCAGAACATGATGGGACTAGTAAATATTTTCTGAATGAATACATTTGCTCTTTTGTTTGTGCATTTAATAAATACACCACATCACCTATTTTAGGAAGCTTATTCACTGTGACTGTATTACTTTGCTTCTATATAAAAGTTAACCTTTATCTATGTCCATTCATTCAACATTCCCCTTAGCATATACACATGCACACATCTGTCATTAAAAAAAAATTATTAAAACTCCATCCTCAGCTCAATGATTTTAATAGGCTCCTGTTTCTCAGATGTTTCAATCAGTTAACGAGTCTTTTATTTTTACCTCAAATATTTTTTACATGTCTGTTCCATCCCCATTGCCTTTGCCGCAATTCAACTCATACATTTCTTTGAACTAATGATACTAATGATACTTCTACTGGTAATTCTGACTCTAAATTTATACTCTCTCTCTTTCCAATCCATTCTCCTCACTGGCAGCCCAGTGGTCAAAATTCTTTAATGATTTTCAATCATTTCCAGTGAACTATCCAAACTCGTTTATCTCTGAATGCAAATGCTTTCACCATCTAGCCTCTGACTGTCTTTCCAGCTTCATCTACCACCTCATATTCCAGTCAAATCTATGCACATGTTATTGTCTCTTCCTTATCCTAATCTCCCTGGGCAACTTATTTTTAATAGCAATCAATACTAACAACTATAATTTACTGAAAACTCACTATGCCCCAGGCATATGTTCTTCATGAAATCATTTAGTCCTCATGACAATTTGTAAAAAAAAAAATATATATATATATATATAATCTGTATTTTACAGATGAGGAGCCTGAGCCTGGAAAAGTCTCAGTGATTTTTCCAAGACCTTACAGATGATAAATGGGAAATCTAGGATTAAAACTAGGTCTGCCTGGATGCCAAGTGTTCTACTCCACTCTGATGCTCTGTGAAGCCTCTCTGATCTTACCCCACACCATATTCGCATTTCACTCATCTCTGGGGAAAATCAATCACCCAGTCCTTTGTACTTCAATACCATCTTTTCCATATCCATTTTTCAGCATGTCTTTATCTTTCTTTACCAGCAAACTTTTAATTTTGTTTTGTGTGAGTGAATTAACCTACTAAGCTCTTCATTCACAGCATATGGCTGGTGTTCAATAAATATATTAAACAGACAAACAAAATTTCTCTACTCTAGCCAGACATTGTATTAAAGCTGATATAAAAGTGTTTGGCAGTACTTAACTCTGCAAAGTTTAATGCTTATTGGTTCTGTGTTGACTCCCTATATCAAAGACCTATCATTTGATTTTTTAAGTTACTAGTAAACAGGGCCTACTGGATCTAATTCTACTAGCTGAGAAGGCCCTTGGATTATTGGTGAAAATCCTGATGACTTTATTTTTAGCGCAACAGCAATTAATAGGAAACACTTGACCTTCTCAATCTTCTGCAAATTGTACACAGAAGAGATTGTTGCTTTGTTTTCAGTCATCAGGAAAATTTTCTACATAACTATGTATCTCTGTATTTCCGATTATTGCAGCATTGCATTAAAAATTACACACTTGGCAATATTTTGGTGGTTCTGGAACTGGAAATGTACAATATCTAGTTTCTAAATAATACATTATTCATAATAAAAAAATGATAACATGGGCTCCACCACCATGAGAACATTAGAATGTGTTCTGAGTATTTCTAGGACTAGGGAAGGGTATTCTTAAACCTCCACACTGACTTCTTTACCCTGGGACAAATGATACACTTTGGATGACTAGGACCAGGGGTGAAAGACGTGTAATTTAACTGAAAAATTTAACTGATCCCTATGGAAATAAAAACCAATTCACCTTGCCCTACTAAGAGAGTGTGAAATATGAACCCAAGGCCTTTCATCAGCAGTTCACAGACCACCCACAGATCCTACACTGTTGTTCTGATTTCTATACTGTGACATATGCAAAATAATGCACATTTGGGATATAATTATAGAAAAAGTCATACAGTCTATCAGTATTCTCTGACTGTTTCCCAAAAGTTTATACTCCAAATAGCTGGGAAATGGTGAGCCAACACAGGGTGTAAAAGCACTATCACAAAAATATTCAAATATTTTATTTTGAAGGTATGCTGATTTAAAGTATAAAAATGGGATTTGTGCACATAGCCAGGGTACTTTTAAGTGTTTAAGTTTTAACAAATATGTATTATTTTTCATTCTTAGGAGTGTCAGAGAACTTTTATTCTCTAAAACACTAAGTGACTTTGGGTCCCCTAAAATCAATTTCAGGAGGAGGATCAATTAATACATACTTGTGGAATATAAGCTCATTATTACCTTGTTATTGCAATGAATGATCTTAAATAAATAATTATGAGCATAGTTTAATAGTTTTTCCTCTTTGAACAGTAAATTTTATAGTACATAGAGAGTGAAATCACTTAAAAATAGTAGAGAGCTGGAAGAGTAGTAACCATTGTTTGTAGTCTAACTTGAGATTTTTATGAAAGATACATTTCATGATTTAGCTGGAACTGCATATCATTTAATTTTAACAATGCCACCTATTACAAGGGAGTTGTGCTCTATTATGTATGAGCAAAATACAAAATAGTAAAATTTTAATTTTATTGTTATTTCTAAATCTTTTAAAATAAATTCAACATATTTGGTTATAATGTTGTTTTCTGGGGGAAAAACACAGTTGATCTTACCAGTGGGTTTGCCAAAATGTTAGAATGATGAATCGACTAAACAGGAAGTGAATTTCAAGGGTGACATACATAACTGTAATAATCAGCCATAGTTAAAAAACATACACTTTTATAAGCCAAAGCAACAATGCA